AAATTGTGAATTTCATGGCCCCAGGGTCAGGGGTTCTGGTGTTAGGGCGGGGCTCTATCAACTATCTAGTGAAAATGCATTAATTCTTTGAAAATCTTCTCTGCTCCTGGGTATTAAATTAAGTAACTAAGTACATAGTTATGATGAGCAAGAGAGTCTCTTCCCACATTGTGAATTTCATGGCCCCAGGGTCAGGGGTTCTGGTGTTAGGTATGGGGCTCTATCGACTATATAGTGAAAATGCATTAATTTTTGAAAATCTTCTTCTCTGCTCCTGGGTATTATTTAAACAAACTAAGTGCATGGTTATGATGCATAAGGATGCCTTTTCAAAAATTATGAATTTCATGGCCCCAGGGTCAGGGGTTCTGGTGTTAGGGTGGGGCTCTATTGATTATATAGTGAAAATGCAATGATTCTTTGAAAATCTTCTTCTCTGCTACTGGAGATTATTTAAACAAACTAAGTGCATGGTTATGATGCATAAGGATGCCTTTTTAAAAATTGTGAATTTCATGGCCCCAGGGTCAGGGGTTCCGGTGTTAGGGCGGGGCTCTATTGATTATATAGTGAAAATGCATTGATTCTATGAAAATCTTCTTCTTTGCTACTGGAGATTATTTAAACAAACTAAGTGCATGATTATGATAGGCAAGGATGGCTCTTCCAAAATTTTTAAATACATGGCCTCAGTTTTTGGGGTTCTTGAGGAGGGGGGGAGGGGGGCTCTATTGATTATATAGTGAAAATGCATGAATTCTATTAATTAATCATTAACTAATCCTGTCTGTTCCTTAGTGTTGAGTTGATAAATAAATTGCTTAGCTATGATGAAGATGGGAGCTTTGAACAGAATTTTTAAATCTTGTGGTCCTAGGGTCAGGGGTTCTGACATAACGAGGAAGGGGGGGGGGGGCTTTTGATAATATAGTGGAAAAGTGTTAATTCTTTGAAGTCCATAGTTATGATGATGAGGGTAACTCTTCCAAATTTGTAAATTTCTTGACCTTTGGTCTTGGGTTCTGGTGTTAGGGTAAGGCTTTGTTGAATCTGTAGTGAAAATACATTGTACCTGTGAAATTCTTCTCTGCTTCTGGGCATATCGAAAGCAAACTGAGTAAAAGTTTAAATGATATAAGTAAGTGTATTTCTACCAGATTTTTGAACATCTGGACAATTTGTCTAAGCATTCTGGTCCTCAACAGGGCTCTATTAATTTATATTCTACTGAGAGAAGTTATTCCCCTTTTCCATTCACCTTTGATAATTAATCACTGTAAATAATGTATTTGAAAGATTAATAGAATAAGATAATTATGCAAGAATGTTTATCATATAATTCAAAAAGTACTTTCTTAGTTTTAATAATCAGGCAGACCTGTAAGTAATAGATAAATAAAAATGAGACAAAAATAACTTATCTTATTAAAAGTTCTTCAAAGACCATAAGAGAGGTCAATGCTAGAGGTCTTAATATGGGTTTAAAAATAGTACAGAAAGCACTAATAGTTTGTTAATAGTCTGCATGGTGATAATATTAAGTGGGGGACAGATTAGAACTTAAGGTATGAGTTGATACTGAATACTAGACTAATTATTTTGTTGATCCTGATCTTCCTACTTCTCTTGCTTTAGGGCAACAAAGCTTCATCTGTCAGTGTATTTAACTTCTAAATTGTTGTATTATACTCAGGTGACCGTTAAGGACCTTGGGCCTCTTGTCTATTAATGTAGGGTAATCCCAGCTATTTTCACTGTGTGAGTCGGTGCTAAGATACTTGAATCGAACGAAAAGTATTAATTTCGATGTGGCAACACCCCTCGAACAAAATAAAAATATACTTTATTTATTCATATTTTAATCCTCTTTTCAATGGTATGAATTTTATTTTGTTCGAAGGGTGTGGCCACAGCAAAAATTTGAACAAAAGACGAAAAAATGCTTTATTTTGATAAAAACTAGCAAAGTGCACTTGTTTAGACGTTTTCTGTACAAATATTACGTCATCAAATAAAAAAAATTGGCATATACTATTTACGTTTGATACCCAAGGATAATATTTCTATTGTTAATTTTCTTCTTCCCCTCACTTTAATTTTCCTGAAAAAATAGGCCGATTTAGCCCCTTCATGGATTTAGCTCTTTCAGTGAGAAAGATTTATATGGTTTTCATTTGCATAAATTGTATTAAATTATTTTTAAAATGCAGAATTGAATTTAAAAGACAATAAAAAGATATTAAAATCTTCAGATATAGAATTAAGCAATTAATTTCTTTAAAAGTATAGATTTATTATGGAGAAAAAGTGACGTCTATCCAAAAATGCAGCATTTTCAACTGCAATTTTTTGTAAAAATGGATGTGGTCGCACTTTTGTAAGGTCATTTATTCTCTTTAATATAAGAAATCAAGTTATATTTGTTCTTTCTGTGAAGTTTTGCATACATACTCGGATGCGGCCATATCGAAATATAGACGAAGAGGTGGAAAACGTCCAAATTAAGGAAATTCCGGAATGTAAGACCGGTTTTGAACGTTATATAAATGAGAGGGTGCTTGAGTTGAGAAAAATTGTTACCAATTTCACTCACAGGGAAACCCCAATGGTAACTTAATACATTTGATAAAATGTAAACCTGCGTTTAATTTTTGCAGATTTTACAGGGCCGATTATTGGGCTTACTGTACCCAGTTCTTTAAGGTCATGAATTTCCTTAACTTAAAAAAGATCCCTATTGAACATAGGCCTTTAGATCACTTTAATTGGGAAAGCTTGGGTCTCTGACCAATTTACACTGAAGAGGAGACAAAACAAATTTTCCTTAGCTAGTTTTGAGTAAAGAAGTATATGTCAATTTTTAATTGATTTCAGCATTTCTTAGGAAGTATTTGGAATTTTAGTGAGATTTTGGTTAAATGAAGTGGATAATTATGCAGCACAGCTAGGAAAAGGTAATGGGGATATGTTGACCAACATTTCTTGACAGCTGTACAGTTAGCTAGTGACCCATTATTAAAAAATACTATGTGTGAAAGAAAGTGCAATTCCGGTGTGGGGGGCTCACACTGTGTATTGAAACTGTTCGCTATCGTGGAGAACCAATTCGAGACAGAATATATAGTCTTTTCATTTTGAGGTCCCATTATAGTCATTTTTCCATTTTTTATACGCTCGTCTTAAGACGGGACGTATTATGTTGTAGCGTTCATGTCCATCCGTCCGTTAGCTTTTTCGTGTCCGGCTCATAACTTTAATACTATTAGGCCTAGAATTGTCAAACTTTGTCAGCTGATACATCTTGGGTAGAAGGTGTGTCGCGCATTAAAAGTAGGTCGCTCTGACCTTTAATTAAGGAGGTTCGGTCCTGAGCTTTTGAGCAGATTTTGGTCTGGAGCTTTATTTCTAAAATTCTGCATTATTTTTAAGTTCTAACATTAAATCTGGATTCTACAATGCAAATTATACTATATCCAATGAAAAAAACGCGATTTAATTCCATTCAAATAGGATTAAGCCAGGAACTACATTTTGTGGCGGAAGATTTTTAGAAGAAAATGATCATTTTTTCCTTTTTGAAATATATACAGTACTGTTAAGTTTAGATTCCTATTTTTCCATGCTGGTTGCACACAGAGCTATTTTGTGCATTGAAATGTTTAATGCTGGTTCTAAAATATTAATTAAATCAGTTTTTGTGAATTCTATCATCATATTGTGACAAATATAAAAAATATATTCTGAAACTCCAGGAACAAAAATGAGCCAATTTTATCACAAAATTAACAGTTTTTTAGTAATATCTAAAAAATAACATAATAGACCTCCACTTTTGATTTTCTTTTCTGAATATATAAGATAACTCTGATCAATCTACTTAGATTCAGCAAAAGTTTAAGACTTTAAAATATTTTTCTTGCTTGTTAAATTTTTAATGCCCGAAAAATGACATTTTGTGAGTGCAGAAAGGTCAAATAATTGATTATGCGAAGCAATTTGAAAATTTTTCTTTGTCACAATTTTAATGTGTCTTTTTTAAGAGAGAATAATAGCATACTTTGTCCCATGATTTATTGGTATAAAAAATATTGGAGGGAAAACGTCGAAGATGTTATTTTTGATTAAGACACAAATTCAGTGCAAAAAGGTCATTTTAAATGTACTGTAGCGCCAAAAGAAGCATATTGACCCCCATATTTTGTTTTGATTTTTAATTAAGCTATGTGTGTACAAGCTAAAAATATACTTGACAAAAAAAGTTTAAGACTTTAAATATCAGGATCCAACGTCGTTAAGATGCTATGGGCAAATATGGAAAATCCTGTCCGGCTCATAACTCGAAAACGATTAGACCTAGAATCATCAAACTTGGCCAATATATGCATCTTAGGTAGAAGGTGTGTCGCAACCTATTTTAAGGTCACTGTGACCTTTAATTTAAGTGAAATTTAAAAAAAAATTATTTCTTTTAACTTTTAAATTACACAATCCCAAAAGATGTAAGAGTATTGCAGTATCCTTATTAAAAAATGTTAAATCAAGAAAATACTTATTTTTTTCATTATATACTTTACAGCAATCTGTAACAAATGTAATGTTATAACAGAAATTCCACCTCTCCCATGGGTGTAATTATCAAGCACTGGTCAAGAAGAAATTTGATAACAGAAAATAGCATGTCAAATTAGAGAGAAATTAGTGAGTTTAGTGTAAGGAGATAACTGGTAGAGCATCTCTGATCAAGCAGGTGTTATCTGCATCCATACCTGTCAACATGGCCAAAAATTTTGGGGGGAGAAAACGCGTGACGACCTTTTACAAATACAAAAAGTCAAGCATTTCACTGTATTATAAAACAAAAATAAACAACTTACAAGATAAAACTTTTTTTATTAATATTATTATTATAATTTATTCATAAAATTTACTTTTTATTCATACATTGTTTAGAAACTTGTACAATGTGATTTTTGAAATTATAAAAATACATATTCTTCAATGTATATTCTGCCTGGCCATAAGAGTGTCATTTGAATAATATTCATGGCAAATGTCAAAGTTTAACTTGGCAATTAGAAAAATTAATAAGGTTCTGCAGACAGTCTGAGTTTCCAGCTTTTAATAGATGGATGAATGGATTTTTCTCACTAAGTCTAAGGAGCAAGAGTTGTGTCCTGGATTTAAGGATCTGAGATTGAAATAATTGTCAAAACTTAATGCTTATATTCTTTAAAATAATGTGTAATCTAGTATAAATGAAATACATGGATTCTCAGACCCTGTGTTTTTTTTTAATCTCATAACATATATCAGAATTTTTATGCCCCGCCATGAATATGGCCGGGGCATATAGTGTTTGTCATGTCCGTCTTCCGTCCTTCTGTCCTTCCGTCCTTCTGTCCTTCCGTCTGTCCTTTCGTCACACTTTGCGTTTAGCTCTGTTCAAAGCTCAGTTTCAAAGATACCATTCAAGATATTTTTATCAAACTTCATATGCTGATAGATATTGATGAGAGCTATGCAACTGCATCAACATTTTTTGACCTTGACCTTTCCTTTGACCTTGACCTCACTTTTCTTAAATTAGTGTTTAGCTCAGTTTTAAAGATACCATTCAAGGTAGTGTAATCAAACTTCATATGTTGATGCATACTGATGTAAGCTATTCAACTGCATCAACATTTTTTGACCTTGACCTTTCTTTTGACCTTGACCTCACTTTTCTTAAATTAGTGTTTAGCTCAGTTTTAAAGATACCATTCAAGGTAGTGTAATCAAACTTCATATGTTGATGCATACTGATGTAAGCTATTCAACTGCATCAACATTTTTTGACCTTGACCTTTCCTTTGACCTTGACCTCACTTTTCTTAAATCAGTGTCAAACTTCATATGCTGATACATACTGATGAGAACTATTCAACTGCATCAATATTTTTTGACCTTGACCTTTCTTTTGACCTTGACCTCACTTTTCTTAAATTAGTGTTTAGCTCAGTTTTAAAGAAACCATTCACAATATTTTTATCAAACTTCATATGCTAATACATACTGATGTAACCTTTTCAACTGCATCAACATTTTTTGACCTTGACCTTTCCTTTGACCTTGACCTCACTTTTCTTAAATTAGTGTCAAACTTCATATGCTGATACATACTGATGTAAGCTATTCAACTGCATCAATATTTTTTCACCTAGACCTTTCCTTTGACCTTGACCTCACTTTTCTCAATTTGTGTTGAAATGTTGCATTACTAATATACCCTCGGCGGGGCATTCATGTCCTATGGACATATTTCTAGTTAAATCTAATGCTTTATTGTAGTAATGTTCTAATATGCTAATTCTATATTTTAATTTAGAAATTTATTACCCTGTTTAGCTATGTAAATTCAAAGAAGTCTTCTAAAGGCACTGTCATGCTGCTCTGTAGTTTCAGGGGCTTTTATATGCTGATGTTGATGCAGGATTTACTAAGATTTTGAATCTCAAAATCTGAGGGGAACTCTTCAGACTCTTCATTATTAGCTTCCATGAAATTGTTCCCCTCTCCTCGTTAAATTAATAATAGAGTACTGTAGTTATATCTCTCCTGATCACTGTATTGTTTATGGAGGAATTGTAATGTCTTGGGTACTTGTAAACTTATTTGCAGCAAAGTATCAAGTACATGTATCCATATCGTTATTTACCGTCATTTTTTGCAAAATTTTTACATCTGGCATATCTGTCTTTGATAATATACACTTTTAATGAGAATAAGGAGCAATTACAACTGCAATTACATCTGGTAGCACAGTTGACACCTTGTTGATTACCTGTTATCAGTGGCAATAAACAGATTAGCTACCGATAAACAGTGCATGACCTCCATTTTTGTGTTGACATGTCGGTATTTTACGAACCCAAGTAGGTAAAAAATCCGGATTTTTTTCGAAATCGGTATAAACGTCAGTCTAAAAAAAATTCGGTAGACAATCGGTAGGGATGGTTAAAAATCGGTAGACTCCCGAAAAATTCGGGAGAGTTGACAGGTATGTGCATCTCTTTGGAATTGGGCAAAGGAATCAGCCTCTTTATTGAATAGTTTTGTTGGCTAGTCTCACTTTCAAGATAAATTTGATGTAAAGTAATTAAAACTAATTTGATATTGTATAATATAATTAAAACAAATTATATACATGTATAATATTTTTTTTAATTTTAAATTTTATACATTGTATTTTAACAACAAATTTCAGAGTGTCATGTCTCACTAAGATGACAAATTTATAGTCTAAAGAATAAACATAATTTGTTTTGATGTTTTATTAGGCTGTAGTATTGTTAATCAATCATAAAATATACAATAAACAAAGCTGCAGATGAGCATTTGTTAAGCTCTAACAAAAACCAGTGGAGAAATATGATGTATTATTTGTTATAATTAATACCTACACCACAGGAGATATATGTACATCAAACATTATAAGGAATGGAAAAATCATCGAAATCTTTGTATCAAGGTTAACATGATTTTCTTGCACTTTAAACTGTTTATGATAATTGAACAATATTTGACGGGCGTATCATGCTGTGGCAGGGCACTTTATTTTTGTGTGAAATGCTTTTCATAAAGCATCTGAACAAAAGGTAACCTGGGTATACATCTGTTCATGAATATTTCTTAAAATTTGATGTACAGTCACACCTGCCATTACAGCCACCTAAAACCAGTGGCCACTTCTTATCAACAGCCATTTTGAACCCTGCCTATTCAATTTTTACGATATTTTAACTCTTTTAAAAGGTCACTTGTCTAATGTTGTCAGTTGCCAGTGTTTTGAAATCTGTCTTGTTCTGACAACATATGACTTCATATCTGATGTGAGTATATTTGTTACACTTAAAACAGGATCTAGTATGGACAAAGCCATGTAGCAACTGCTAATGATAAAATGCCACTTAATGATACAAATATCATTAAGCATTGTAATTGCAACACTTAATGCCATAAATTATGTTGCATTAATAGTTGATATTCTCAACCATTAATGCTAAATCGCCGCTTAATGATAGAATTATATTAAGCGTCACAAATGCAGAGCAACACTGACACTAAATGAAAGAAGCAAATATCTACATAATCTATGGTTAATGATAAACTAGTGTATCATTAAGCATTGCAATCGAACCCTTTAATGATATAAAATTTAGAAATGGCTGCCAATGTCGAAGAGAAACACACATCCATCTTTCCTTCCATTACTTGCCAAAACATTCATATATGCCCTTGTGCTATAGAATATTGTAATTATTGGAGTTTTCCCATGTTTTCTAATCAAGCAACTTCTTAAAGCTTTGAATATCCAAATTTACATCTGCCATGCAGGGTCTTAAATGAAGTGTTTTCATGCAAGGAATTGTTTATTGATATAGAAAAAAATATAAAGTAAATAAATGTCATTGCAATAAGAACTCTTACTTGTGCTTATTTTTGCAAACTACAAAGCACACAGAAAGAAATGTTCAGATATTTCTGTGTTTCTTTTCTTTACTTGCATTTATGCTTCTTTAAAAACATTGAATCAGAAGTAATTGATAAAAAAGTAAAAAATGGGATAGGTCATTTAAAAATCTTCTTCTCAAGAACAACTGGGCCAGAAAAGATGAAACTTATGTAAAAGCTTCCTGACATAGGGTAGATTAAAGTTTATTCTAATCATGAACCCCGGGTTAGGGTAAAACCACTTTGAGTGAAGAAAGTTTTACATGGAAAAACATAGGAAAAATCTTAAGAAATTTTCTTTTTATGTGGAATTCTACTACAGTTATTGCTGAGATCAAAGAAATGCTGCGGACATTATTCTCCAATTAATCACAAATGTCATCAAAAAATTATCAGATCAGAAACACATATCAAACCTGTAGAGTTGAAATGAATATTTTTAGATTCTAATAAATATAAAGATCATATTGATATGTCGTCTTCCACAATCTAAACAGTGTGTATTGCTTAAAGCAGCTGACAAATTTTATAGCTAAATAGGGCTGTTCCACGGACCTCCCCACAACATTTACATTCAGTGATTTTACTGATAAAACAATAAAACAGACGAGTGTTTTAGTTATTTCACATTCATAAAAACTAATCAATATATATGTTACAGACAAATTAATAAATGATTAAAGGATATTTTTAATCTAATGAAAGCTGAAAACGAATGCAATCCTTTGCAATCGATACACAAGTAAACAAATTGAACCTCTGGTGTTAAAGAGAACAGTCTAATCGCGACATGGTGACGTAATTTGTTTCTCTATAAAGGAAATGATCAGTCATATTTTAGAGCTATGAGTAGAGTAGAAATAAAGTTCTTGCATCCTGAATGTTGCAGGATAACCTCCGAGGTCGAGAAATGTTGTTTAAGATATAAAAGCCTTGGCTTTTATATTTCAAACAACATTTCTCGACCTCGGAGGTTATCCTGCAACATTCACAAAAGTGTGAGCTTTATTTCTTAAATAGAAAATAAGAAGTCTAAACATTCAGTGAAAATACAAGTTATCGATAAATGATGACTTGAAGTGGGCTTAATTTATTTCTATAAACTAGAAGATAGTAACCCACGAGACAAAGGCGCAAGTTGCCATTGTACTTAGCATTACAAGTAATTTCTTGTATGCGATGTGATGCAACTAAAATTTCTCCACCCTTGTGGATTGATTGAGTCAATCAGATTAAATAAGAAAGTTATTTTAAAGATAAAACATAAAAAAATATTTTCATGCTACTAATTTAAAGCATTTTAGGTGTTTTAAGGGTCACAGAGATAAAAAATGTCATTTATACATTCTGTTTCAAAATACTGTTTGTCTGATGCATGGTGAATATTGTCTGATCCATGGTGAATTCTGGCTCTTTCCAAAAAATTAGTTTTTTAATGATGTTTTCTCAATAAATAGCATTTAATAGTGTCACAAATTCATATGTATTTTGATCACAGGCTACATGTTAAACTTCATTTTAGTTATTAGCTCTTCTGAGTCAAAGGCTCAAAGAGGTAATGCTATAGCCATTTGCGTAAACTTTTTTGAAAATGGGCCATATCTTAAGAACCCCCTAGTCAATTTTTAGGTCACTTGAGTTTACTCAGGTGTTGAACTCTAATGATTACGTAGTGAAAATGCATTAATTCTTTGATAATCCTCTGTTCTCTTTCTGGGTATTAAGTTAGCTTACTAAATGTAAAGTTGTGATAAGCAAGTGTGCCTCTTTTGAAATTGTGAATTTCATGGCCTCTGGTTTCAAACATGAACAGGTTGGGGGGAAACGTAAATTTCGCTATAATAGTGGTATATCACTATTATAGTGAGATTCCGCTATATTTTCAGCCGTAGTTACTCTCGATTTCATAAATAACATATTTGCTGATTAAAGCGCAACTTATGATGGGTATAAAAATGGACAATAATTTGAATCCTTGCATGTTATGAATTTTATTTAATTTTCTGCCGATGCGTTTTATAATATGAATACACTTTTTAAAGTGGAAGTTACATTTTTAACATAGCAACCAGTGATTGCAGTAGTATTGAACAAAGACTGACTCTTAACCCTTGTAGTGCCGGGGGTGCTATAGATAACAGCATCTCTGAGTGCCGAGCTGATAAAGAGCTCCAGCTGCTGACTGTGCCAGGCTGATTTATAAATTTCTCTCTAATTGCATATGCTGCAGATTATCTTAATTATCACCATTTTATAATAACTTTTTCTGATAACAATCTACACAACTTTTTTTCAGAAAAAACAAAAGAAGAAAATTGTGAAGAAATTTTTTTAATATTTCAACTCAGTAAAAAACTACAAAAGCTTTAAACTAAAATTTTACATTTAAAATGTTAAAAAAGGGAAATTATTGGTATTTTAATGTCATTATTTATTTCATAGTAGATTTTTGCGATTACTATATTGTAAGAGTCCTTCATGTTACTACTGGCTATACTTTCACAGCTTGAAACATAAAATTATGATTGCTACAAGTCCTTTTTTGACATCTGTTTATTGGACATGGAAAACCGATTGTGGCTCTCTGTTTCTTTCTTGTGAAGTATTGAATATATCTGCCGTATAGTAATTTTTTTTAACCAAAACATCTTCAATAAAGTAATCAGAAATAATAAACTTTAAATGTCAATCAGTTTGTGATCATTTGACACAGTTGTATCGATTTTTTCACCTTTGAAACTGGTGACGCTCATCGACGTTTTTTAAATCCATGTGTATTATTCATGTCCATGGAATCAAACCATCAGAATTCTTCATCGGAATCTTAATTTAGATATATTTCACAAAATAAATCTTTTATTTTCTGCAGCTATTGCTGTAAAAGTGTATTTCCATCGAGCGTCTTCACAGCGACCTCCATCTTGTTTTCAAACTTTCCCCAAAGCACGTGATCAACAAGTTTCATTTTCTAAGAATACATGTAGGAATTTCCCATCAAGAGCCAATCGTATCATTAAACAACTGGAAAATCTATCTATTTTTAGTAAACAACATTGAAATAAATGGATTCCCTTTATTTCATTGGTTAAAATACGAAAGAAAACGTCATGTGTGTAAAGTCGATATACTGACGACCGGCACTGAACGGAAAACATGGCGGCTCTCACATTATCGACGACCGGCACTGTGATGGCGTTATCTGGGTCGTCGCTTTATCGACGACCGGCACTACAAGGGTTAATATCTCTCACACATGTGCACAAATTAGTGCTTGTAATAACTTTGAACCCACTTTGGAATAGGTTTGTCGAATTTACAGAAGAAAAGGTGATTTTTGCCTGCATAGTTACTGGTGTGGAAGCCCGTTATGACAAATGAAAAAAAAAGCTCAGCACAAGTTCACTTTAATGGAACCGATTTGTGTCGTCTAAATCGTAA